ACCCAGGAGCCTTTCCTCCACTTCCTAGCAGGCCAGGTAAATCAACTGATTCCCTTCTGAAGTACCATTTACTCTTGGCTGCCTAAGAAATTTGTAATAGAAAATAAGGAAGTATGTGTCAAGGCAGCAGGTATTTTTGTAAAATGCTCATTTCTAGGTTATGGAATTGACTGAAATTAAGGGGTAGAGCTGAACTGAAGCAAGGTAAGAAGTTCCTTATTTGAACTTTAATAGGTTATTTGATTTTTTTTCCAGAATGAATCTCCATATCCATGAAGTCTGTAGTTTGCATACAAATGTAGCATGTCTTAAGTTCTGCTGGTTAAGTATTTCTTGTCATGAGATTCCTTAATCTTGTTATACTTATTTTGTCATGTTTGGCCTAAGTAAAGTAACTTTAAAATCCTCTACATATTTAAAGTAGCGTATATATACAAGGTATAGTTGCTCTTTTGTCATAAACTACAGAAAATCAGCTCTGCACCTACTGTTTTTACATACTGGTTTCTACTGTAGTAAGTCTAGTGATAGCTTTCTAATATATTATTTAAATATGTTTAATGATTGTTGTTGCTGTTTATATAGGATTCTTGTCCATCTGCATTGTTGGATGGATCTTGTAGTATTAAATGCTGCACATGTGCCCTTCTCTACACATACCCAAGAAGCAGTTTTATACCCTACTTGCCACAAGTGCCACAGCTGCCATTATGAATTGTAGCCTACTGAAGTGGGGGCAGAGAAAGAGATCCTTCAGTTGCTCATTAAATTTAACAGCTGAAAGTCTGGTTTGGGAGAGGAGCTTCAGACATTGTTCTTAGCTGCCTCAGGTAGTGTGAACTACAGGAAAAAGATCAGGGTTGCTGAGTTAAAGGTTTGGTTCTGTACCACTTACTTTTTTAGATAAATTAAGGCAGTGACTTGAGATCACCTGGGAGAGCTTAGTAAATTACTTATCAGTGTCAAGCATTTGAGTGATTCAGGATAGGGCAGAATATATTGGATAAAGGAGCGTATCTAAGAAGTAGTACATCAAAAAATGTCTGGAAGGTAAAAAAGAGAGAACAGAAACTAGGTTAATTTTAGCTTTGGTGAATTACAGGAATCTCCCATACTGATGCTGTTGATTTATATTCAATAACTAGATTGGTAGCTGAAGAAACTTTTAATAATGAAACTTTTCCCTAGTATTAGACTTCTCCCTGGCTTTTGAAAATGTGCAGAAGGGGTTATGGGGTAATTTTAAAGTCTTGTTCTTATGAAATGGTGGGTCAGTTTTACTGTAATTTAGTTTAAATGCAGAAAATGCAAAACATTTGTATCGTATGACAGGGCCTGTCGTAGCAAGGAGTGTCCCATGGTTTAAAAGTGTTTTGTTGGTTTTTTTTTTCTCCTACAAGGATTCCCACCTCCAACGTATGTCGTTCCCCCTCCTGTGGCTTTCTCCATGAGCACAGGTTACACTTTCCCAGGTGGCGTTTCTGTCCCAGGAACCTTTCTTCAGCCTACAACTCACTCACCTGCAGGAAACCAGGTGCAAGGTGGGAAACAGTCCCACATTCCATACAGCCAGCAGCGGCCCTCTGGACCAGGGCCAATGAACCAGGGACCTCAACAAACACCACCGCCTTCCCAGCAACCCCTCTCATCCTTACCAGCTCAGGCAACAGCACAGTCTGCAAGCCAGCTTCTGGCCCCGCAGCAGCAGTCCCCTACAAAAGCTGTTCAGGCGCTAGGGAAGAGTCCACCTCACCACTCCGGATTTCAGCAGGTAAATATCAAGGGGCACTTGTACATGTGACAAAATTGCCTTTTATAGCGGTTTAAATGTGTCTATACATGTGCAGTGGCACTGTAAACTGTGTGTAGTGCATTCCCAATGCCAACCCCGCATACCACATGCTGTACAAGTCCCAGACTGTGGCTGGTGTGTGCTTCATGCTGCACAGGAATCTGACCCGGGTGAGGAGCCCTGCACATTGCTTCTGGGACTGGTCCGGATAGGCCCATGCACCGGAAACAGCACCTAGAGACAGTCGGTTGCGATCCCAATACAGCATGCAGGACTGGTCCAGGGAGCATGCTGCATGAATTGCCTGCATCGAATTGGCCCTGTGCGCTGGCTCAGGGGTGTGGGGCTGGTCTGTGGGTCCAGTCTGGCCTGCCAACCAACCCTGCAGCACTGTGGGCTGGATGATTTTTGACACCCCTAAGGTAAGCATATGTCACTGGTTCATTCCCATCTGCTTGTTACGCTTGCTCCATGCTCGCCAACATAAATATAGGTTTCAAAGTGCAACGGAAGGCTCAAGTACCATGTTAAGGCACTGCTGAATCGGTGCTTTGTCTGGAAGGGCATGAAGTAGTCAGACTGGAAGAGAATGCTGATTCTTGGGAGCTGACTTAGAACTTGTGTAAGGACATAGGGCATCTGAAGCAAGTGATTTCTGAGATTCTTACATTTTGAATAAGAATCTGGGAAGTTGGATCATGTGTATAATAGGCATCTGTCTTGCAAAACAATAAAATGATGCCAAGTGAGACATCAGCTCACTGAATGCAGTAGAAAAATCTGTAATTGATTTGTCTTGCAAGGTTTGTATGTGAAAGATGGAAGTTAACTGAATGGCTTATATTAACATTTCTTTGCTTGTGCCTCCTAATGAAAGTGTGCCTCTCTTAGTATCCACAGACAGACTCATCAAAGCAACTCTGGAGTCCTCCTCAAGTCCAAGGTTCATTGGGAAAGATGATGTCTGTAAAGCAGCCCTATTATATTCAGGCCCAGGACCCCCTAAAACTGTTTGAACAGTCATTACAGCCTCAAGTGATGCAGCAGCAGCCTCTAGAGAAAAAAATGAAGCCTTTCTCCATGGAGCCATATAACCAGAATCCCTCAGAAGTCAAGATGCCAGAATTTTACTGGGACTCCTCTTATGGCCTGGCTGATAATAGAGTGATGGCACAACAGAATAACGTGGACCGCAGGGGGAAACGACAGCAAGGTGTCTTCCGTCCAGAGCAGGACACTGTGTCCAGGATGGCTTTTGAGGTAAGCATAAGATTTTATAAATTAAGATCAGTAAGGCTCTGATGTCTCTGAATGGGAAGTTCTAATTTCGGCCTATACTGTAGCAGGAGATGGATAAATATGGGGGGCATGTAGCCATCTGCCTAGCAGCAAGATCAGGGTATTGATATGACCACTACTGTATCTGCAACTTAACTAGTCGGACTATGGGAGCAGGTTCTATGAAAATCTCTGGCTCAAGGTACTTTTAAGTTGCGCTCAGCATAAAAGTGTGACATTAATCTCTCTGCACTGCAAAACAAGATCTTTCCTGTTTGTTGGAAACTGGAAAATGTATATCACAGTTTGACTGGCAAAATGTTCACAACCCTCATGAAATAGATGCAGAGAATATCAACGGACTACACCAAGGAAAAATTGTGTTGTATAGCAATAGAGGACAAAAGAAAAACCTGTTCAGTTCTATGAAATATAATGGGACAAGTTACAAAACTAAATTTAATGCCTTGGGTGTCTCAACTACCTGATGTTATCCAGCATAGGGATGAAAATTAACTCCTCCCTCCCTCAAAGCTTCAGTTTGCAAGGAAACCAAGCAGAGCAACAGCAAAAATGGATGTCTTTCTTCCCTACCCCTCTACTTTAAGTTATGTTACTATTACAGACAATGCAGTTAATTTTTTATTCTATTTGCATCAGGCTTTATAAAGAACAGTTTAAGGTACAGATGCTTTTAGGAAGCTTTTATAAAGAAACTGAAACAGGAGGCTAGTGTCCATTTTAAACCATGAGTTAGAGAGACCAGTGTGTGTGTATGCACTAATGATTTTTAAGAGGCCAGCTTAGCTCAGTAGCTGATCCTTAAAAGAGGAAAACTAGACAATATAAAGGATGCTACCTTATGCTCTGATATCAGATTTAGGTGGAACCAGGGTCCTTGACTGCCTCATCCCCAGCATGGAGATCTTAACCATGCTGCAAATTTGGATTTAACCACCACAGAATGAACAAAGATGTGCTACACAATGTACTTGTGGCTGTTCTGATAACTAGGCCAGGTGTGAAATGACTGTTGTTGCCTACTCCTTATTCAGCTCATGAAGATTGTTTTTTCCCAGTGGTGCATTGACTTGTGGACCTTAAGACTATTTCCATTAGTGATGGAAATGTTTCTTGCATAAAATAGACTCTCCAATAACAAAAAACCCACATCAACACACAGATATAACATTTATTAACAAGTTAAATCACTGATGATTCAGCTGTCCAAAAAAGTCATGTTTTCCTATCAAAAAACGCTTCAGGTCCAGTTTGTCCTTTTTCTTTAAGACAAATCCCTTTGTCTCCAAGTGGTAGGTATTATAATGGAATGGGAAGCAAATTCTTCATACAAATTACAGAAAACTTACTTGATGGAAAGCTGCATCATTCTTTCCAATATATGTAAGGACAAGATTTTAGCTTTGCTATCAGCTTAACATTCTATCTCTATTCCTCTTTTTCTTATTTCTTTCCTTTGTGTTGCATTGTGCTTGATTGTCTTGCACTCTTGCATGCCATCTATTTGCTCATAATAATCCTGTTTTCTGTATGCTCTTCTGTCTGGTCTGCTCTGTTTATTATGGTCTTGCTTCCTGTTCCTTTGCTGTGTCTCACTGTGCTCATTTCTGTCACTAGGACCCCAAGAGCTCTCCTCTGCTTCCTCCGGACCTGTTAAAGAGTCTGGCTGCCTTGGAGGAGGAGGAGGAGCTGATTTTCTCTAATCCTCCTGATCTTTACCCAGCTCTGCTGGGGCCTCTCGCCTCTCTTCCTGGACGAAGCCTCTTTGTATGTATTTGACTTAATTCTGCTGCTTCTTGCTCTGATTCTAGATTTTTTTAAAATTTTCTGTGAGGTGGTAAGATGCATGAAATTCCATGTTCCCTTGTTGAGCTGCTGAGAATCTAAACAAGCTGGTGGCTCACTGGCTCTGGATAAATGAGGAGGAAATGTAATGAATGAAATAGCTATTGATCTAAGTCCTGATCTCTTAGCTTGTTCCAAAATCAAAATAGCTGTTTTCTTTGTTTTTAAAATGAAGTTCACAGGAGAAACCTTTGATGCAGCATCTGTAAAACCTTATCTTCCATAATTTAGATGAGATTGGGGATAATTCTAGAGCAGTAGTGCCCAACCTTTTTGTCCTGTGGGCTGCATGGACAGTGCCTGGTCTGTCCATAGGCCAGATCAGGCTGTTAGGCCTGATACGGTGCACAGGGTAGACGTAGCAGGGTCCAGTTTACCCTTATTATGTGTGGGTGGGCAGGCAGCCTCGGTCAGATTCAGCTGCTTAGGGGGAAGGAAGGAGGGAAGGAGGTGTGGCTCAGCCCTGGCAGGTTGTGCAGGACTTGATAAATTTGGTAGCAGGGGAGGGCTTGCAGTATTGCCACTGCTTCCATGCTGCCAAACTTCCCAACCTATTGGGAGCCCTGCAGGTGGGATGCCTTGGCTCCGTAGGCCATATTGATTCGTGGGCCAGGAGTTGAGCACCTTTTGTTCTAGGGTAAATGGGGGAGTGAACTGAAAGAATTGGTTATGGGAAAACACTGGTAAAACTAGCTTGTTACCCTGAAAGATTTTTATCTTTATTAAAGAATTATATGAAGTTAAAAAACCCTTGTCTTTTAAATGAAAAAGGGATTCAAAGCAAAAAAAAATGCTGCTTAGAAAATAATTGGAACCTGCTTGGAACTTCTGATTTCAATCATAAGATTTGTACTTTACATAATCTTGAGTAACAGCAGCGCAGATATAAACAAATTCACACAAGACAATATGTGCTGTTTCAGAAGCTTCCTGGTGAAGCCTTCTTATTGCATTCAGGTTGATTCTTGCTGAGCAGTAGGGCAAGACCATCTTTTTTTCCTTTTTTTTTTTTTTTTAAGACTGTCAGGTGTGTTGTATGGATATGCAAACATGACATTTGTCTGATTTTATAAAATCTGATTTCAAAGTATCAAGTCAGTCCCAGCCAAGTTAAGTTTACAGGATTGTAACTGGTGGGGTTCATGATACAAGGGCCTAAATTCTAGGGACAAATACAAGGCTTCATAATACAAGGACCTAAATTCTAAGGATGAACCCAAGGCTTTTATTTTAAGTAAAAAAACAAAAACAAAAAAAAAAACAAAAAAAATCAACAAACAAACCACATTGTCTTGCATACAACATACCCCTGAATGGGGTATGGTTTGGTTTTGTTGCTTTTTTTTAAAGCCAGAATGGAGAAGAGAATTTTCTAGTCATGGCTCCATAGAGCAGGGGCAGAGCCTTATCTTCAGCTGATTCACTCTCATTTTCCTGTTTAACTAAAGCTCAGACCCTAGCTGCTGTTTGAAGATTGGTCTCCCTGAGTGGATCTGTGATTTAGAAAAGAGCTAAAGAATCTCTAAGGCTGTGAAATTAGAGCGACCATGTGCAACTAGCTAGCAGACAGTAAAAATGCCCTAAGAATGGTTAGCTTGATTAGTGAAACATCAAGACCATTAAAAAGGAGAGGTGATTGAAGAACAATGAAGCATTAAGTCAGTTTACTCCTTCAGCTGCCTGAATAGTAATGCAACACCTGCTGCACTGTGGAGCAGGAATCAAAGATGATTCCTCCAACCCTGGGCAGCAAATTAACTTCCCTGCTTAATACACACACCCTGATTTTGGTGGGCTTTTTCTGGGTGGGGAGGAGGGTGGGAAAGGTGCGTGTTACATGTGATAACTCATAGTTTGCCTGCTGAGGGTAGTATATATACAAGATGGTTTGGACTGGGGTCACTAGTTTTAACTTTTGATTAAATGCCATTATGACTTGCATTATTCACTTCTGACTTGTACAGTCCAACTGGTTAAAAATAGATCTGTGTTCTTTCCTTGTCCTCAGTATGGGATCATCATACCAAAAAACCTAGGATCATTTTGTTGTTATTTATTTATTCACCTCCTTGGTGATTTTAATTCTTGGAACTAAGTGAAAAATCTAGTGGAGTACTTAGCTGAGAAGTATAGAGTTAGGAATGATGAAAGGTTTAAAAGGGGGAGAGACTCCAGGTTGATATGGGAGAGTCACTGTCCCTATGAGAATTTGAGACCTTGGCCATTCTTCCTCTTAATTCCATTCTGAGAACAAGAATATATGAACCACTAAAAATGGACAGAGCATGTGGACTTATTGCTGTAGGAGGGGTAAACATTTCTAGAGCAGCTAGAAAAGAACTGAATAATTTTGTAACAAATAGCACCACACTTGGCAGAGCTACGTATAAAGTTTTACATCTTCTGCCAGGGAGTAAGCTAGTCACCTCTAGAGGATCTACATAGAACTCTCCCAGTCTTGCTCTGTAATTTGCATTGTGCAATTTGGTTAGATTCCTTTTGGCAGAAATTTAGTTTCACAATACTTCCTCTGAGGACTCAGACTAGTCGAGGCCCAGGGCAGAATACCAGATTTAGTAGAACATTGATCTGATCCAGACAGATCTTCTTTTTAGAATTTGGTTGACATTTTTACCTCTGACTTTGAAACTGCTGATGCTTCAGCATTATTTGGATTTCATTTACTATTATGGGTTTGACAGGCTAATGCATGTATCAATATTCTGTCTTTTCCTGGATGTGAAAAATTATTTTTGAATTGACGCTGATTTTGGATGTTTTTCGTAATGTACTTGTTTGCCCGTATGTACTACATTACATATCTAACTGCATCTTTCCCTTTCTTGGTCTTTGAAGAAGTCCCTATTGGAAAAACCGTCGGAGTTGATGTCTCAGTCATCTTCCTTCCTGTCCCTCACCGGCTTCTCTCTTAATCAGGTACGTAACTGGTGTATAAATCTGGTAAATAAACAAACATCTAGCTCCCCAGTGTTAGAAACGGTCATGGTTCTCTTGTAGAATAGTGGTGCTTACCATTTGAAGCTTGCTTCTGGGAAACAGGAGATAAGCATAAGGAGATAAATACAGGCTCTTCTCTTCCAGCTGTTCCTCCTTCCTCCACTTGATGTAGTGCAGGGTTTTCTCTGCTGGTTGTTCCTCCTCCTTCCCAGTCCCTCTTCAAGCAGGCAAGCACTATAATAAAAAATTAGTTTATGAAGTGGGGTGCTGCTCAATTTACAAAAATGATGGAGGGGTGCCTCATGTCTAAAAAGGTTGAGAACTGCCACTCTAGATGAAAAGACACACAAACTGGGAAGGAGTCTGAATGCAAATCTTATTCTCTGCAGGCAAGGCATGGGGGGGTTTTGTTTGTTTTTTTACCTTTTTTTAATTTTTGTTTCTTAGTCATTTTGGTTCCCTTGCCTCAGTTATTTCCCCTTTCAGTATTTTTGATGCCTAATTCTGGAGAACTATACTCAAAACTCTTGTTGGCTCTGGGTGTCTGACCTTAATAGGGATCCAGTATTGAACCTTCAGGGCAGGGATGGCCAACTGGCAGCACACATGCCACAAGTGGCACAGGCAGCCTCAGTGTGATACATGATAGATCAGGGAGGTGGCAAGGAACACAGCAGCAGCTAGGGCAGAAAGTAGAAAGCAGAGCAGTAGACTGGGCAGGGGAAAGGGTGTGGGGCTAACCTTTCTAGCACATCTGCCAAAAGGTTGGCCCCCACTGTCTCTTTCCCTCTCTTTTATCATTTCTTTATGCTGGGATGTTTCTCAAATAATGACTATGAATGTTCTCTTGGCAGAGATAGTGTGGGCACTGTCCAGTTGTAGAAACCTAGTTATGATTGCAGTCTAGCTGGAAAAAACTTTCCCTTTGAATCAGTGTAATAAGAGTTCACATCAAATCTCAAAAAGTCCTGGTAAATATAAAAGTAAAGTTTGCTTGGTCTTGTAACCCACAAGTTTTTCTGTAGGCTTAATGTTTAAAATATATCTAGCACTCAGATTAAACTCACTTCTTTTAATCTTGTAGGAAAGATACCCAAATAACAGTATGTTCAATGAGGTATATGGGAAAAATATGAATACCAGCACAAAAGCAGAGGTCACTCCCTCAGTCACCCACCAGGAGACCTCACTATACTCTCTCTTTGAAGGGACACCTTGGTCTCCATCCCTTCCAGCCAGCTCAGGTAATAATGTTAATATGGCTTCTTTCCTATTTCAGATCTTCCCATGGTAAGTCTCTATTGGTTTGCTTAAGTGTGTCCTGTAAACAAAGTGAGTTTTTTGCATCTTCAAAGGTGACTTAAAATTCTTTTGCATTCCATCCTATGTCTGACTATGCATATCAGGTCTCTTAGATATTAATTTTTTAATAGAAAACTATGCATGTGATGTGAGAGAATGGAGATAGGACATCAAGAGCATACTTCCATTGTACAACACAGTAATTTGTACAGATACTTGAGTTACTATACTTCTTGTCATACCACATGTCCCTTTTGCCCATAAATCAGCCCTCCAAAATTGGGGTTTCTCTTAATTGGAAAGCTGATTTTCTTTGTTGGAATAGAAGCATGGAGATGCTGTGCTGTAATGGCTGTTTTTTCTCTCTAGGCCAGCAAGCAGCAGGGAAGGCCCTGTTCTACTCCCTCACAGCAGCTGCCAAGTTAGCAGTAACTTTTGGCTAAGCAGCCAAAAGCCTGCTGCCAATTCAATGTAATCTGTCAGAGCGTTGACACTGTAGCCTTTGCTTGAAGCTACTAGTAAGCTGGCTGATGGTGAGTGAGCTGCTGCATGCAGTCAGCTCCACCACGACTCTTTTTTTTTTAAATTCCTCTTTTTACATTCTGCCTTCCTAAACCACAGTGTACATCTTATTTGGGGGCATGCAATATGTAGGAAAATACAGTAGTTTGGGTACCAGGACCAATAAAGCCATGCTAGCATGCCATTCCCCCTACCCTCAGGCTGTAATTATTCTTGTTGAGAAGTGAGTTGTATTTAGTGTGACCGTATGTCCCGGATCAGCCAGGGCAGTCCCAGATTTTCTAGAGTGTGTGGGGCTATGGGTAGGCCCAGAGTAGTTGTTGGGATGCGTTAG